TGCCAATTTTCTTTTCCACAATCCTTAACAGAACCAATGTCAATTATATATATATATATATATATATATATATAAGGCAGCCTCAAACAGTAGTTGCAAAATCACCATTTAAACATGTATTTTTCTATTTTCTTTGAACTGTTGCATAGTCACTGAGAGCCCAGAGCATCTGAGTTCTTCTGTAGCGTGCTGCCTTCACCCAATCTGTGCTGTTAGGGGGGTGGGAGAGGGGGAGGGAATGACTATGCAAATTACTGAACAATACCCTGTAGTATTTCTATTTGTATCTCTGCTTTATTGTAACATATAGTGGAACCTTCATCTGAATTTTCGCTCCAAGCAATTAATTTGTGTTTCTTTGGACTACTTCCAGTATATCCAGAGCAGCCCTGCTAAATCTTTGAATTTAAGATTAATACAGAGGAAAATACATTTTGATCATCACGATTACTTGTAATAAAATCCGTTTAAACTGTGGGAAGTGGAAAGGGTGCAGTTCAGAAATACAGAAGAAAGATATCTGAGCCTGATTCTCATTAACATTCTAGCAGTGCAAAGGGACCTGAAAGATTGTGTAAATGTAAAAGGGCCTTATTATCTTTACTATGTCCTAGAACTGCAATTGTAATCCTGTATACAGTAATAAAGATAATAATAAATTAAAATAAATATTTTATTTATTTTATTTTAAAAATAAAATACTGTTTTCCAATTGCGCCATATTTTTACTTAGTGCAGGAATATTCCAGTGTCTAAATCACAGAAAAAAGTATGTGCATATTTACATGATTAAAGATACGTATGTAAATATTTCAAGGAGAGGGCCTACAGGGCTTAGTTCAGCTAGTGGGAAAGGGAGGTAAAGGTGCTTCTTACACCATCTGTTCATTTCTGCTGATGCTGGGGCTGACCTAGTGGCAAGTAAGCTGGTGGTAAGGACGGCTGGAGGGAGACTTTCAGGCGAAGGAGGGACTTGGTAGAGCTGGCTACGCTGGTTTGATGACTGATGACAACTAAGGTCCCTTTGGATCATTCTGATGGTCCAAAAGGAGATCAATGGGGCTGAGGTTCTGGACCTTAATGGTTATTTAAGCTGCTGATTAATATTAGTTTAGCTCCACATACATATCAAAAGATGTTTCACCGTTTGCTGATTTGTTTAGTTATCTATTCATTTATTTAAGTACTCTAGAGTCTTCACAACAATCTTAATTCAAAAATGAGAACATTTTAGGCAGTTAGTGAACTCCGTGTGTTCTATAAACTTAGTAGACTGCCCAGACATTTAAAAAAACCCGACCACATCAACAATCCTGCTACTTTCCAAGCCTACCAAGCCACCTCCTCCCCAGCTGCCCAAAGGGAAAGATGGTATCTGCAGTATGGTTTGGAAGTCATCAAATCTTGCATCAGGCAGACCACGGGAGAAAGTCGATTGCAAAGCCAAAAGCCTCTCATGGAGAACACCTCACCAGCAGTCCCCTCTCATTTCTACACATTCTGAAGATTTTGCAATCAGAGCCAAATTCCAGGGGTGAAATCTGAATCCCATTGTAGTCAATGGGAGTTTTGCCATTGATTTCACTTGGGCTAGGATTATATTCCAGATCATAGAAAATTAGGGTTGGAAGGGACCTCAGGAGGTCATCTAGTCCAATCCCCTGCTCAAGGCGGGACCAACACCAATTAAATCTTCCCAGCCAAGGCTTTGTCAAGCCGGGCCTTAAAAACCTCGAAGGATGGAGATTCCACCACCTCCCTAGGTAACCCATTCCAGTGCCTTACCACCCTCCTAGTGAAATAGTGTTTCCTAATATCCAACCTAGACCTCCCGCACTGCAACTTGAGACCATGCTTCTTGTTCTGTCCTCACTTTTCTGGTACTTCCCAATCTATAGACTCTTTGGCATGGTACTCTGTTATTTCACATCCTTAGAACATAATATTCATTGCAGAAGGTTGTACCTTCCAACTTGGGCCCTGCAGGTAAGGAACTTTGGACAGGTCACCTTGCTACCCAAATATCTGGATATTATTCAATATACATGTTGAAATGGCACTGCTGTGTACTGCAGTCTTGACAAGGTGCCATGATTGTGTCAAGGTGCTCAACCCATTTCATTGTCATTTCAAAGCAATCCAGATCCAAGGCTGTTGATCTGTGCATGTGGCACTATTAAGAGAATTCCAATTAATGGTAAATAATTTATCATCCAATGAGGGTTCTTCACAATACGTATTGTTGTTATGAAATGTGAACACCAAAAACAAGGTTTCCCTGTACCTCTGAAGAACTCTCTTCTCTTATTTTAATAATATCACGATCCAAGTTAATCATAGTCAATAAACATGAGAGAAAATTTGCACGATTGAGGAGTTGAATGAGCTAAAATGTGTTCTTGTTCTTGAAGCCACACTTAACAGCATTAAAAAAAAAAAACTTTCCCCCCAGAAGTCTTGTCAAATAATGTGATGTCTATCTCACATTGTGCTTTACAGGCACAATTTCCCTTATGATGAGTTGGTCTAAAATTCTAATTTGTACTAAAGTGTAACCTCCGGTGTAAGATTTGTTTGCTGCTGTGCACAGTTTTTGAGTCAGTTGGACAGATCCTTAACTGCTTTAAATTGGTTTCACTTGATTGTAATCAATGGACGTGGCACAATATTTGTACAAGACTTAAAACAACTCAGGGAATGGAAGAGATTATAGTTGATATACATCAACAAATTTGCATTTTGGATATAGATGGATATAGATAGGTATCATGCATATTATGATGCATATTGAATATGGTCATTGATTACTCTTGGATTCTTTATAGTATTGATCTTTATACCAGACTCTACATTCTGTTCCCCATATTATGTATGTTGGATTTTACAAAAAAAAATAAACAATTGTCCCAGGATGACTCGATACAGACCCTTACAAAGTAGTTTCCAAATATTATCCTCACCAGAAGGAACCAAGAGAGCGATTAATACAGAGAAAGAAGAAGCACATTTTATTTCAATGTCAGTGCAATGAGAAGAGTCTGTTCCCAGTAGAATTGGAGAGATCATGCCAGCTTGATAGTTTTATTGCCATTTCAAGAGACCTATTATGGTCCTATTAAAGTGACTTTCAATTCCGTATCGCTCATACCTGAGAGAAAGTAAGATGTATAGTACATTTTGGGCCTCAGGACAATTCTTTCATCTTGATCATCATAAAAAGAAAAGAAAATCTAAAAGATGACTTATTTTATAATATGAGGACCCTGGTTTGTGCTGAATGTAACATTGTTTGCTGGTATTTAAGTCTGTAATCCTCCTATACATTTTATCAACTCACCTACTGCATTCCAATTACTATTTGGTATAGTTTTTGTTTCCAATGAAGATTAAAGGGTACTGCTAGATGTATGCAAAAAAATGTGACTACAGAAAACAGCAAATTAGTTGGAGTATGTCAGCTTAGGAGAACATTTCTGATATGAGTGCTGTAAGGGTGTTAATAAACAGACTAACTCATTTGTCTCACCATGGAATGAAAATAAGAATCACCGTGTTATAATAAAATTTTGCCTGGGAAGTGCCTAGAAGACTCTTTGAAGCCTAGGGTGGTTTCCTTCCATGGATTTTGACACAGCGATACATGCAAACCACATTCTAAATAACTGTGAAATGAAATGGGTTCTGTGGAGAACAGATGGATCAAGGCTAAATATGGTGATGTGCACTGGAGACAGGAACAGATTAATACCGCAAGGGGAGACTAAAGGAAAATTGGAAAGACTGGGGTATTAGAACTGATTCATGAATCATTTCCAACTGATAGTTCTGCCTTCAGGCACAATGAATAATAGCAAGACAGCATCTTTAAAAATGTATGTGTGTTTTGATGTAGCTTAGAATTCAGAGCCATACTTCCTGGTGAAATTAAAAGAAAAGTTCTTTACTGTTCTTAAAAAAAATTACTCATATTTCTAAACACTACACGTGCAACATTGTGTAGTTTTTTGTACTCTGGCATGAATTGCTATTTTAACAAGTTAGATCAAACTCCCCTCTGTGACACAAAGCCTTTGAAAACGAATTTTTTTGCATGGATGTTCTGTAGCAGTTAGGAGACTTGATTCCCCCATTCACATCCAGGCTATAGAGCTCCAGCCCTTTTAGTGGTTAAGGGCAGATTTGACTGGTAGGTCTGCATGCATGTCTCCATAACTCTTCCCAGACTACTTCTGCTCCAAACACCCTCAGCATTATAATGGCTCTAACCAGCCCCCTTCCTGGACCAGTGCTCCACAGCACGCGGAAGGATACATACCTCTAAATGAGATCTGGATATCATGTCCTCCTTAATGTCGTTTTTAACGGTTACATTCCATGAGATCAGATTCTGATATCCTCACTGAATGGTACCTTACACTGCATGCAGCCCCATTGAAATAAATGGGAGTACTTGAGAAATAAGGTACTTCTCAATATGAGTAAGGGCATCAGAATCTGAGATTGAAAGGAGTACTCAAGCAGTAGGGAACTTCTATGGGTGAGTACTGGTATCAGAATGTTGGCTGTGGTTAGCCAAGCAGAGCTGTGCCTGTTAGGACCTCTGAATCTCTTCAGTATGGCATGACTATCAGGATATGACAGAGCCTGAACACTGTTATTCATAACAAACATGGAGAGAGAACGAAACAGCTCGATAATTGTTTTGAAACGTTAACAATCTCCCGAGAAATCTTACAGGAAGTGTCATGTACGAACTACGGAGAGATGCAGAGCACTTGGCAGCGAAGAAAAATTTTGTGAAATATCTTAATACTGTGGATGGCTGCAGGTTAGTTTGCGAGGGAGGAAATGATCTGCATGGGTTTCTGCTCAGTGATGCAGTTTGATGCTTCTAATATGATTCCCTCATTCTAAGCAAGGTTCAGTAATAATATTAAAAAAGATATAAAATGTACCATTTGCCTGAAAACCTGATTCTCAGTCTGCTGTTTTCATTTCAGGTTGCCAATCTGGCCTGTTCTATCTCCAATAACGAAGAAGGTGTGAAGTTAGTCCGTATGGCAGCAACCCAGATTGATAGTCTATGCCCACAGGTAGGCAACATTCTTGCTGCAAAGTACTCAAGAACTGTTAAAGCATTAAAGAGCATAAGGTATTTGACAGAGAAAAATGTCCCATATGAAGATTATAGCCTTGCCTTTTTCATTATATTGTTGACTGCCTTGCAAAAACTGTGAAAAATACATTTGTATTGTGAGACTTGCTTAATGAACAAAATGAGCACAGTGCACAGCTGTGCTTTTAACGTAGTATTTAATCAATTTGTTCTTTCCCTTGAGCAAAGTTTTGTCATTTCTTGTAACAACTTATTCTAAATAATAGGTAATAAATGCTGCACTCACGTTGGCTGCCAGACCCCAGAGCAAAGTAGCTCAGGACAACATGGACGTCTTTAAAGATCAGTGGGAGAAACAAGTGAGAGTTCTCACTGAGGCAGTTGATGACATCACTTCTGTGGACGACTTCCTCTCTGTCTCAGGTACGGGGATCAAAGGAGCCTCCTAAAAATAAACCAATAAATTAAAGTAATGGTCACATTAGAAAGGCAGCTAGAATTACATTAGTGCATTCTTCCAGCCACTTAGAACGCTGGCTTGCTGAACTCAGTGGGAGTAATCCAGTCCTGCCAATTAATCCCTAATAACTGGTCACATTGTACATGTGTTTCTGTCTTTTGGGAGATGTTTTGAATTTCAAATCCTGATGGGGCTAAAACAATTGCGGGTAAAACAAGTATACATTTTTAGCACCAGTTTTCCCCTTGTTATGGACAAAATTCATTGCTAGTGCAGGTATTCGTAGTTGGACAGCTACCTATCTACCTAATTTGCATCTTTTAGTTTCCGGTGGCTAACATATGCAGCCAAAATGAGTTGAAGGTGTTGCCCCTATAGAAAGAGAGGCTGGGCAGGAGCCTGGCTGAAAATCTGGCCTTTAGTGTTTCTCTGCATGCTGCAGTAAATGGCAAAGCAACTTCATGGAATCAAAGAAGTTAAGAGATGGAGACCCAGGTTCTCTGGTGCAATCCATTCACTTTGTGCCACTCAGGTGGTACAAAATGGATGGATTCTGGGCAGAAATATTCAGCAGAGATTTTCCTTGTGGAGGAAAATGCTTCACTGGTGTAAACCTGGCAGAGGTAACTACTGTGCCAGTAACTCCTGTGCCAGTCACTCCGGTGCACACACTAGTTGTTCTAACTAATATAAGGACCAGGGAACCAGTGAATTATGGAGTTATAATTGGCTTTCTGATGCACTCCCCCAACCTGCACCTAGCAGAGCTCAAATGTAGGGGAGGACTGAGCCTGGAAAAGACCTATTAGATTATCAAATCCATTTCCCCACAGTGCAGGATTTCTGTCTTTGCTGTAATTAGCAGAGACAGCTTCAAGCCACAGAATTCTGAGTTGGTTCCAGATTCCAAGCCTCCCAGACTTCAGGGTTTGTTTGAGCTCATTATAAAGATATGGATCACAGGCAAAATTTGAATCCAGGTCTGGGTTTGGATTTCAAGTTCAAACTTCAGAGGTGTTCAGGCCTAGAGTTTTCACTGGACCTGACTGTATTGCCAATAAGTACAGAAGAATTTGAACCACTCTTTTTACATTTATTAATGTCTTGTAACAGGCTGCCGCCAGTGTTTGCAAATGTTATTCTTGATTGTCACAGACCTTACCCAAGAGGGAGAGAGAGGATGCCTTACTCTCTTTCATAGTCCTTCACAGATTGTGACTCACCACTGCAAGCAAATGGGTGGGAAGGGGAAAGAATGAAGTGTAATTTGAAGGATACCTGATGTAGCCCTTCACCCCTTTGCTCACCCACCAGAATAGCTGGCCAGGAACACAGTAGAGAGCAAGCTAGTCCACAAAAAGAGGTAAAGTAACTTACTCCTCACCCAAATACAGGAAGGAAAGGGAAAGGGATTTGGACTCTCAGGTTCACAATCTTTTCTCTCTGCTGCTTCTGGGGAGGTGTAAATACACACTACTCCATATGGCAGAATGTAAAGTTACAATCTAGCTATAAGCAGCTAGTGATCCTGCTGCAAAAAGTGGTCTGTTTGTGTGTTTGACTCACTGTTGCAGGTAGCTTGTTATCCTAGCAAGATATAAGGTAGGTGGAATTGGCCGTTATGAGAAAAGGACATAGAGTACGGGCTGAGCAATCCTTTGAGAGGATCTCTGAGAGCAGCCAAGCCTTGGGAAACAGCATGGGCTGAATTCTGTGGTGGTCTACTTTGAGATTCTTTCACGAATAATACCAAATCCTAGGAAAGGGATACGTTTTTACTTGCTACAACTTGTGTCAACTGTGCGGAATCCAGTTATACTTCTTTTGTGTATAAAAAGGTAATAACAGCTAACTTAGAAAAAAGAAGAGGTACATTTTACATGAAATAATGTAAATAGTTCTTGTTTCCAAGTAACAGGAAAATCCCTATTTCTATTATGCATTTGCTCTCTATTCTTTGTGAATTTTGGCAGATGAGGCATTATTGGATCTTAACATCATATTAGGAAAGATTTTGAATATATACTTTTCTCTCCTGAGGCATATGCTTTTAAAAATAAACCCAGATTCAAATTGGAAATAAGCAGAATGGTTTCATAATTCAATCAGTGTGTGAAGTTATAATCTAAAGTGCACACTTCAAAAATACTATTTTTAAATAGAATGTGTGTGTGTGGGGCGGGGGGATGGCTTATTCATCCCTAGAAAGGATTCCTTCATTTTCATTTTTTTTTTCTGTTTGGTTGCATCATGTTATTCCTGGTAACAAGGAAATGGTGTGGTTGAGCCTGATTATACTCCACGATTCAACCCCAATACAGAGTTCTTACAACAAGCCATGACAAGGAAATGAAAATTGACTGTCAGAAAACTGGGTGCTGCAGAACGTGGGAGAGCATAGATTTTGATTTGACAATTGGTGCTGGCAAGCACCTTTTAGCAGACCTAGCTCTACAAATAATGGACGGATCAAGTCTGTGGTCCATAGATACAGTACACAAGCTGAGAAGCTGCTATTTGATTATTTATTTTTGTTCTACTGTTCAAAGCAAAGCACTTGCATCCATAAATTGCACGTTCTTCCCCGGGGTAATTTGTACTGACTCTGTTTTTCAGAAATCAGTTTATTCTCGTAATATATTTATTGGGGATAAGCTTGAGTTATAAAACTTGGAACCAGATCCAAATTTTTCCAAGGTGGGTCAAATCTGGGGTTTCAGTTCAGGTCTATCTTTTCAATATTTTATTTTCTTATCTGTTTAAAAATGATGTACTATCCCACACTGTTTATAGAACTCTGCTCTATTAGCAGTGAGCTCTGAAGTCTTGGCTTCAATCAGAAATTCACACAAAGAAGCAATAGCTTATTTTTAGTTGTTAAACCATTAAAGTATTAAAAACCGGTTGGTGACTGTTTAAGAATTTCTGACAAAGTGACCCCTCCCCGCTTATTACCCCATGCCACAACTGATGGCACATTTTTATCGGTGCAGTGGCTACAGGAGGCTGAGATTAATTTTAATCAAACGCTTTACATTTCAAATACATTGTCCATTCGTATTTCTAAAAGTGTTTCACTTCAGGCAAAATGTGGGCATGCTGTGCTAAGCAAAATGGGTTTAAAAAAATCTTTTAGCAGAGTAACATTTTTGAAATGTATTCATGTATTTTTTTGAAGAGAACTTTCCCTTTGAAATGACCTTTGTTCACAACACTGGAGAATTTCAGTTCTCATTCAGAAATGTTATAGTTTGAAATGCAACATTGTTAACTTTTCTGGAAAATTTAAATGAGTGAACCCTGGGATCTTTGGCAAGGCACATGACAATTTTAGTCTATTTTTGTAACCCTGGAATGGCTAAAAAAAAGCAATTGGTTAAATGATCAACCTTAGTTTATTGATCATGGCATCTTACTACAAGGTACATCATTTTATCTCCAGCTCATTTGTGGTGGTACTGGCAGAAAAGCAAGTTGCATGTCAGATTTGCCTGAGATTAGCCAAATGTAAAATTCAGATATCACTTTCATTGTTGAAATGCCCTTTTGAACTGTGTTGATTCAACACATGACAGTGCTGTGTAAGACACGCATTATATACTGCAGTGTATAAAACCTGGCGGCCAGCTTGTGTAAATTGGTGTATCTCCTTTACTTTCAATTGAGCTACAATAATGTACACCAGCTGATCTTGCCATATGTTCATTAGTATAGTATCATGATACGCACAATCACTGACACTTAAGAGCATGTTCCCTGCTATAAAAGCTTCCCACTTCTGTTCCTGGTCTGGTGGGAAGCAGATGAACTGTTTGCTCCTCCACTTCCTGCTCTCTGCATGGAGTCCCTCACTTCTTCTGGTTCTGAATGCAGTGAGGGACACACAAACCAGCTCTTGCTCCCTCTACTCTTCCACTGCTGATTCCATTTGCACGGGTATGGAGAGGAACCCCTGAAAAATCTCTCACTCCCCTGGATTATTTCTAAAGACACTCTACTGCCCGTCTAATAAGACTCCTGGGTGAGAGGTGGTAGAGACGATACACAATAATACTTACAAAGGTAAAAAAAAGATTATTTTACAAAATGATGAGAGACAGCAAGTAGAAACTGAACCCCGACCCCTGTGTCCATGGCAAAGAGCTCTGGGGTGAAATTCTGACTCCATTGCACTCATGACAAAATTCTTATTGACTTCATTGTGCCAAGAATCAATCGCCTGTGCTCCCCAGCTACCAGAAAGTTACCTACTGAAGTGCCTTCTCTACAGAGTCTCTTGTGAAGATGCAGGTTAGAGGTCAGGACGTTGGACTGGCCATGCTCTCAGATGTCATGCTACTATCACAGCCTGGTGACTGAGCATGTGCAAACTTTCTTCACAAGAGTGAATTTTACCCGTGATGTAAACCTAACTAACAGGCTCCAAACTTTCATTGACTTTCAATAGCAGTTGGGTGCCTAATTCCTTTAGATGCCTTTGAGACTCACACCCTAAATATTTTCAGTAGTAAACAGACTAATCTTCCAAATATTGACTTCTTGTCAATGCATATACAGAATGTATGGCCATATTATACTCCAGTTTTATTTATTGTTATTTTAGTAACTCTTAAAAATTATTTAATTTAAGAGTTGATATTTGAAGTGAATTTCAGTGTTTGAGAAAAGTACCAGATTTACAACCCTGGAAATCCCAAGAGCTGTACTTACCCTTAAAATAATTCTTGGATCCGTCTGTGCCTCAAGATTGTTCTGGAGTGACAATGTGTAGTGTGAGAAGGGTAGTTAAGTTCACAATGGTAAGTAAGTTCACTGGTTTGTCCACTCTGCTGAGACTCTGAATAATGGTGCCAAGTAATGCTAGTTAAGTAGGTGAATTTTGTGGTGAGATGACCTAATCAACCTATTTAACACAGGATAAGTCACCAAACAGACATTGGACAGAAATTAATTTTGATCAGTACTGACCTAGGTTCAGATTCAAGACAGTGACCTGGGATGTAAAGCACCATAACTTATTATGTACCCTTATTAAGAGACTACAGTATCCTCCAGAAATGGCCTAAAGTACGGTGGTAATAGTATTGTAAGCTGTTGTGTTTTAGTCACATATGACACAGTCCTACATGACATTCTCAGAAACAAACTAGGGAAATGTGGTGTAGATGAAATTACAATAAGGTGGGTGCACAATTGGTTGAAAAACCTTACTCAAAGAGTAGCTTTTAATGGTTTGCTGCCAAAGTGGAAGGACATATCTAGTGGGGTCCCTCAGAGGCCTGTCCTGAGTCTGCTACTGTTTAATATTTTCATTAATGGCTTGGACAATGGAGTGGAGAGTATGCTTATAAAATCTACAAATGATACCAAGCTGGGAGGGGTTACAAGCCCTTTGGAGGAGATTATTATAATTCAAAATGGCCTCGATAAATTGGAGAATTGATCTGAAATCAAGATGAAATTCAATTATGAAAAGTGCAAATTACTTGGGAAGGAAAAAGCAAATGCACAACTATATGATGAGGAATAATAACTAGCTAGGAAGTAGTACTGCTAAAAAGGATATGCGGTTGTAGTGAATGACAAATTGAATATGAGTTAACAATGTGACACAGTTGCGAAAAAAGCGAATATTGTTCTGGGGTGTATTAACAGGAGTGTTGTAAATAAGACATGGGAGGTAATTGTCCTACTGTACTAAGCATTGGTGAGTCTTCAGCTAGAGGATTGTGTCCAGTTTTAGGCAAGACACTTTAAGAAATATGGACAAATTGTAGAAAATCCAGAGAAGAGCAACAAAAATGGTAAAAGGATTAGAAAACCTGACCTATGAGGAAAGATTAAAAAGAACTCTCCATGTTTAATCTTGAGAACAGAAGACTGAATGGGGATCTGATAACAGTCTTCAAATGTGTTAAGGGCTGTTATAAAGAGGATGGTAATCAATTATTTCCCATGTCCACTGGAAGTAGGACAAGTAGTAATCAGTTTAATCTGCAGGAGGGGAGATTTAGGTTAGATATTAGGGAAAAAAATCTTTCTAGCTATAAAGATAGTTAAGCTCTGGAATAGGCTTCCAAGGAAGACTGTGGCATTCCCATCAATGGGAGTTTTTAAGAACAGGTTGGACAAACACCTGTCAGGGATGGGCTAGGTTTACTGTGCCTCAGCTCAGGGAACTGGACTAGATGACCTCTTGAGGTTCCTTCCAGCCTATATTTCTGTGATTCTATGATTCCATGATTCTAAAGTACTCAGAACAGACAAGTTATTCTTTATAACTCAACAGTTGCAGTATACTCATATAAGCCTAGCTATGAACTGAAAATTATGTGTGTTCTTTCTGCAGAAAACCATATTCTGGAGGATGTGAATAAATGTGTGATCGCCCTCCAAGAGGGGGATGTTGATACACTGGACAGAACTGCAGGTGCAATCCGTGGTCGTGCAGCCAGAGTCATTCACATCATCAATGCAGAGATGGAAAACTATGAAGCTGGAGTTTATACCGAGAAGGTACTGGAAGCTACAAAATTGCTTTCAGAAACTGGTAAGCTTACTCTAACTAAGCTCTCTAACCCATTAAATTCCTAACCAGTTTAAGTCTGTATTTTCAAGACTGTAATTTAGAAGAGCATCTGTGCTCTCGCTGTGTGGGTGGATCTGCTTGTTAGTGAATAAAGTTCATGTTTCAAAACAAAACAATAAAAAGCACACACTGACATGTTGAAAAAAGTACAGAAAAAATAAATCCAAATAATAAGGCTAATTTCAAAACCTCATGTCCTCTCCAAAGGTCTAAGAAAACCTCAGAATTAACAATGTTTCAGTGAAAGTACTTTGGAATGACTGACAATTCATGAGTATATCATTTAAAAAGTAATAAAATGTCATAGTTATTTCATAGAAGGACTATGTGCAGAATCAGAAATTCTTTCCACTCCTGTTCTCACTCATATACTTATTGACCACAGTAGTTGATCTAGGCTTTGTACTCACCAGGATACTGCCAGTTGTGACAAATAACCAATGAGCAATTCAAACACATGTAGCAACAGATAATATAAGTAACTGTAATGTTAGAGTGAAGCAATCAGATTTATTGCTGCAACATAGTGAATCCTTTATCACTGGTAGCATGTTTGTTAATTCTTGATATATAAATCAGGCTATAAAGCAAGCTAACAAAATATATTGATATATGCATTATAATTTATTATTATTTTATTGTTCCAATTGAACAGTGTGGCCCCATGAATGAAACCGGGAAAGGTGAACTGTTAGTATCTCTGCTTTCTATGTCCCTTCATTGGAGATTAAGGATTGAATCCCAGATTCTGACTGTACATATTTCAGTATATGATCAAAACTAGAGGAGTCTAGGAAACAAACTCTGTCTTCTCAGAACTGGTGAAATTCACCCTTGCTTTGACCTGTGGAGGGGCATTTCAAAGGAGGATTTAGCGTTTGGGAGCATGATCTGCACATAATATTATATACCCTGCCACTTAGTCCTAATCAGCATACATCCCCTAAACACTTCTCTGTCTTATATTTGGATAAACCCAGAGAAAGGGGATGATTGGGACTAGAGAGCTTATTTTATGAGAGGAGACAAACAGAACTTGGCTTGGTTAGCCTAGCAAAACAAAGGCTGAGAGGGGATATGATTGCTGTCTATAAATACATCAAAGGGGCAAAAACAAGGGAATGAGAACAGTTATTGAAGTTTAAGGACCATGTTGGCACAAGAACAGATGGGTAAAAATTAGCCAGGAATAAATTTAGGTTGAAAATTAGAAGGTTTCTAGCCATCAGTGTGAAGTTCTGGAACAATGAGTTCTGGAACAAACTTCCAACAAGAGTAGTGGGGAACAAACAACCTAAATGGTTTAAGATGGAGTTTGATACATTTATAAATGGGAGTATAGGATGGGCTGCTTGTGTTAGCAGGTGACAGGACTTCATGACCCACGTGGTCACTTCTAGTCCTGTGTTCCAAGAGAGTGAGAATTTGGCCCTCTATGCCTTTGAAGATGCTGGGGTGGTCATCCTCTCACCATAGTGCGATTCCATAGAAAATCTTTGTATAGTTCTTAGTCAAGGGAACACAAGAGGATCAGAAAGTGGTTATTTTAATTCCGTATTTATTGCATAATCAATACAAGATGAAAGGTTTTTAACCATAACTTTAGAAAGGGCATTTCATGAGCAAAATAATGTAAACTCTAGCAATAAGCAATTGTCATGGATTCACAAAAGGAAGATATGACCTATCCAGTGTGAATGGGTTCTTGGGTCAACAGACTTTCATAAAACCAGCAAAATATACTGAAGTTTATTTCCATTAAAGTCTTCATTAGTAAACTGAGCGATTTCTGAACAATATGAATTCATTGTTAGATAGAACAAAATTAATTTTCAGACATTTTATTATGCTAACATTTCTGGCCCAATTTTATGTAAAATGTGTCCAATTCATCTTTCATAGAACTAATTTACAATGATAAAAACACAATGAAATGGATCTACAACAGGGACATTAAATACTTACATTGCATAGTTAACGTGTTCTTTAATAAAGCCTGAATTATAACAAAGTGCTAATTATATTAAGTGCAGCTTTTCCAAGCCCTTCTGTGGTATCTGGGGAAAAAATGGACCTGGTTGCTGTAATATAGAGAAAGAGGACTCCAAATTACAGATACTGTATTTTAAAGCCTGCATTTCAGTTCATTCTGTTCTCTCTCTCTCTCTCAGGTACTTATATGTCCCCTATAACTGTAGTATCTTAGCAACTCAGAATCCTTAATATATTTATCCTCGCAACATCACCATGAGCACATTGTTATTAACCCCTTTTACTTACGGGGAGCTGTGGCATAGAGAGACGCTACATGCCTTGCACAAGGTCACACAAAAAGTCTCTGGCAGAGCAGGGAATTCAACCCTGGTTTCCTGATCACTAGGTGAGCATCCTAACTGCTTGCTTCTTTCGTGGAAGTGTACTGAAATGTCCTTTTTGCAAATTGTATATCTTGAAGACAACACAATTAGGGGAAACTACAGCAATAATCATATTAATACCACTTTTGTCTGACCAAATATAGCACTATTTGTCAGTAGATACTAAAGTGCTTCACAATGGCATTGTCCCCTCCAGACTACAAAGAGCGTAACGGAGGCCCAAATGGCGAAGGGATTTCACTCCAGTCACAGTGTGAGTTAGCGCTAGAGCTGAAGTTGGAACCCAGTTCCCTAATTCCAATCCCCTGCTCCATCCTCAAGATCAAAGTCACTGCTTATCTTATTCTCATAAGACAGAAGTAGAGTTGTGACTATAAATCCATAGGCTTTAATGCCAAAAGGGACCATCATGGTCATCTAGTCTGATCTCCTGCACATTTAGGCCACAGAACCTCACCCACACAGTCCTGTAGAAGGTCCATAACCTCAGGCTGAGTTACTGAAGTCCTCAAATCTTGATTTAAAGATTTCAAGTTACAAAGATTCCACCATTTACTCTAGTTCAAACCAACAAGTGACCTGTGTCCCACATTGCAGAGGAAAGCAAAAAAAAAAAAAAAACCAATTTGACCTGGGAGGAAATTCCTTCCCGATCCTAAATACAGTGATCAGTATACCCTGAGCATGTGGTTAAGATCCACCAGCCTTACACCTGGGAAAGAATAGAACATAAGAGAATAAGAATGAGCATCTAGCTCAGTATCCTGTCTTCTGACAGAGGCTGGCACCAGATGTTTCCGAGGGAATGAACAGAACAGGGCAATTATTGAGTGATCCATCCCCTTTCATCCAGTCCCAGTATCTGGCAGTCAGAGGTGCAGAGACACCCATAGCGTGGGGGTTGTATCCCTGACCATCTTGGCTAATAGCCATTGATGGACCTACCCTCCATGAACTCAGCTAATTCTTTTTTGAAACCAGTTGTACTTTTGACCTTCACAACCTGCTCTGGCAACAAGTTCCACAGGTTGACTGTGCATTGTGTGAAGAAGTATTTCTCTTTGTTTAAAATCTGCTGCCTAATAATTTCATTGAGTGACCACGGTACTTGTGTTATGTGAAGGGGTAAATAACACTACCTTATTCACTTTCTCCACACCAGTCATGATTTTCATGACCTCTATCATATCCCCTTTTAGTGGTCTCTTTTCTAAACAGAACAGTCCCAGTCTTTTTTAATTTCTCGTCATATGGAAGCTGTTCCCTAATCATTTTTGCTGTCTTTCTTTATATATTTTTTTCAATTCTAATATAACTTTTTTGAGATGGGATGACCAGAACTGCATGTAGTATTCAAGGTGTGGGCGTACTATGGATTTAAATACTGGCATTATGATATTTTCTGCCTTATTATCTATTCCTTTCCTGATAGTTCCTAACAATCTGTTAGGTTTTTTTTATGTGCCGCTGAACATTGAACAGATGTTTTCAGAAAACTATCTATAGTGACTCTAAGATCACTTTAGCAGCTAATTTAGACACCATCATTTTGTATGTCTGGTTAGGATTATGTTTTCCAATGTGCATTACTTTGCTTTTGTCAACACTGAATTTCCTCTGCCATTTTGTTGCCCAGTCGCCCAGTTTTGTGAGATCCCTTTGGACAGTCAGCTTTGGACTTAACATCTTCAATAATTTTGTATCGTCTGCAAACTTTTGCCACTTCAATGTTTACCCCTTTTTCCTGATCACTTCTGAATATGTTGAACAGCACTGATCCCAATACAGATCCTTGGGGCACCCCACTTTTTTTTCTCTCTCCACTGTGAAAACTGACCATTTAATTCTATCCTTTGTTTCCTACCTTTTAATCAGTTATTGATCCATGAGAGGACCTTCCCTCTTTTTCCACAACTGCCTATTTTGCTTAAGAGCCTTTCGTGAAGGACCTTATCAAAGGCTTTCTGAAAATCCAAGTACACTATATCCACTAGATCACCTTTGTCCACATGTTTGTTGACCCTCTCAAAGTATTTTAATAGATGGGTGAGACAGGATTTCCCTTTACAAAAGCTGTGTTGACTCTACCCCAATATATCATTGTCATTTATGTTTCTGATAATTCTGTCTTTTACTATAATTTCAATCAATTTGCCCGATACCAAAGTTAGTCTACCAGCCTGTAATTACCAGCATTGCCTTTGGAGCCTTTTAAAAAAAATAGGTGTTACATTAGCTATCTGCCATTCATCTGGTACAAAGGCTGATTTAAACAATAGGTTACATACCACAGTTAACAGTTCTGCAATTTCATATTTGAGCTCCTTCAGAATTCTTATGTGAATACTATCTGGTCCTGCTGACTTACTATTATTTAATGTATCAATTTGTCCCCAAACCTCCTCTACTGACACCTCAATCTGGGACAGTTCATTAAATTTGTCCCCTAAAAAGAATGGCTCAGGTGTAGGAATCTCCCTCACATCCTCTGCAGTGAAGACCCATTCGAAGAATTCCTTTAGCTTCTCTGCAACAGCCTTGTCTTCGTTGAGTGCTCCTTTAGTACCTCAAATGTCCCATGGC